AACAGACTGATCAAGAAAAAGAAAATTGTACTGTATTTCGCCAAGATCAGATCAACGTTGACATATATATGATTTTATTTATATGACCGAAAAAATAAATTAATTTCGGATAAATGATAATAGAATTGGATTTATGCCTTCAAAGATTCCATCCTGAACATGGAATTGTGCCTGGAAGGATTCCAACTTACAAGTTAATCATTATGTTTCCGATGGCTACGTAAAGCTTAATTCATGTGGATAAAATTCATCCTAATAAAGGAAGAAAAGGGAAGGGGAAGATGCCCATCAGACTATGAAGGGGAGGGAGAAAATATTTACAAGAATGCCAAACACGAATAATTTTTTATGACAAAGGAGTGAGAAAGGGACCCAACTGAGTTTTGCTCAAGGGAATTGTTCCATAACAAGTAGTAAGACAAGTTTTTATTTTCAAATTGCTAATGTTACTTGTTGATTAAATTGTACCATATTTATTCGTTGTTTGGCTTATCACATCCCTTCCCTAGGAGAGATTTACTTACTTAATCTCTCTAGAAATAGGATATAGGGAATATCGTTTTCGTTTATGTAAAGAAACATATTTCCCTACTCCGGTATCACTGTTTTCTTCTCTCTTCATGTCATTAATCGTACGAGAAGAGAGATAGAAAAAAAGAGACAGTGACACTGGATTATGAAGTTCCTCTCCTGTGTAAGAGCAGTGGCTTTGAATCTGATAGGGTCCTTTTTACTCTGCCAGGTGCCAATATCAAAACCAATACCAATTATCATTGGCCTTCCCCATTGGAGCAATCAATTTATCATTATCTTTGGCATATGTTGCGGACAACGATCACTTCAAGACGAACATCACAGGGGAAGCCAATAATTGATGTCCCAAGTGGTATCAGTCGTTCTATGCTGTATTTTTACCCCAAGTGGTATCAGTCGGACAACGATCACCTTACATACGAACTGTATTTTTAGCCACAAAATTCATGTGAATGGTGGATTCACTTAAATTACAACCGGGTTAATGAAACCTGCACACTTCTTACATCGAGAATCTAAGCATCTTCCAAATAACAGAATCCTGTAATCAGAGGCGGATCTATTAAGGCGCAAGGAGGGGCAGTTGCACCTCCCCTCGCCCGAAAAACCATTGTAGGTGCCTCAAATTGCGGATTCAAATAAAAATACTAGAAAATCAAATTCCCACCAAATCAAAATATGAAAATTCGGTTTTAGTGCAAAATACGATTTAAGCTAAAAATGATGGCTCATTAAGTCAATATATACTTCATACTAAAATCCCATAAATTCAAGTTTTCTTATTTGATGTATAAGGAATAAAAGCCGCCAAAAATTATCTTGAGAAAATGATTATTCCGAAAAACCATTTTCATACTTAGTCAATATTGCACCTCCGCTCAAAAATTTCTGGGTCCGCCAGTGCCTGTAATGAGGGCTTTATTTATATATGGCTCTTGGGTGAGGCTCTATCTTTTAAATGTTAGATTAAATTGGTTAATCGTTAGATCAAATTAATTAGTCTAATCCAACAGTTAAGAAATAAGGCCATCTCTAAGTGAGGGCAAATTCCTAAATTATAGCGCTAAATCCCTAAAACTCATCTCAAAGAGTGGATTACACAAAGGCCCAATTCCTAAATTGAGGGCCACATGTGGCCCTTTGGCCAGCCAGGACTAAATAATTGGATGGGGCCCATTTGTTTTTCGTTTTCTTGTATCAAATAGGTCATTTGTTGCCATTGATTAAAGAACCGTTGCAAATCAAGGGCCTGAAGCCACCCAACGGTTAGCTGACGTCAGCAAGCTATTTTTATTATTATTTATTTTTAATTTAAAAAATTCAAAAAAATGTATAAATACCTACCTCATTCTTACATAATTTCTCACAACATCTTCAACATTTTACATATTATCCTTCCTCAATTTCATCATTTTACATAATTTCTCACGTTCTCTTCATTTTTTTACAAACTATCCTTCATCTTTTTCCATTTAAAAAAATTCTTTCCTCCCATTGTTAGAAAAAATGGCTGGTATTTCAAAGAAAGGAGGAATTGGACTTGAAAGAAAGATGAAACTCTTTGCAAGCCTTACTTAAAAGTCTCCAAAGATAGTCTCAAAGGTACAAGCCAAACTTTTGACGGCGTTTGGATGCGTGTTTCTCAAAAATACTAAGAGCTTTACGAAGGCACCACTTCAACGCCGAGAAACCATAAAAATTGCAGCGATTGGTGGAAGAAGCACATATTTCCGAGCATGAACAAATGGCCTCAAGCCTTGAAAAGGGTCAAGAGGAGACATCTAAGAGAAGCCAATGTCTCCGATGAAGTAAATGTTTTTACTAGTTTCTTTAATTATTATTTTTAACTACGTACTTCAAATTTATTTAATTTACTTTAATTATATTTTCTAACAATGCCAAGCGGAGGAGTTCTATATGGAAGATGTCAAAAAAGTCTTTAAACTACATCATTGTTGGGAAATTTGTAAAGGTTGAGTGGCATTTCAAGATCCACCAAAAGAAATTTTTGGTCATACATCAGCGCGAAAAAATTTGCCCATTAATTTAGATGATGATGAAGAACCATCTCCGATCACCAACGAAGATCCTTCTTCTGCTCAAACATCCATTCCTAGACCTATAGACGAAACAAGGCAAGAAGAATGAAAGAAAAGGCAAGGACAGATCAATTAGAGAGGAACGGGTGGCACAAGTGGTATTGATCGTTGCGTATCTTCCTCCTATGCTAAAATTTGATTAGTACAAATTTAAAAGTATATGTTTTTAAGTTTGGTCTCATCTCATGTTATTTATGTATAGATTGACAATGTAAAAGTGAAAGATCAATTAGAGAGGAACGGGTGGTACAAGTGGTCTTGGTCATTGCATATCTTCCTCCTATGTGTGTAGTAACAAAATTTAGTAGAACTTGAGAGAACAAGGTAGATCAAAGGCGAACATTCCCACGAACAAAAAGAAGAAGAAAAATTTGAACTATCGGATTGATTTAATGTGAAACTTCTCTCACTTCAATATGTGCTTTTGACATGTTGAAATTAGCAAATTAATATCTATAGTATAAACTAATGAAAGTAAGCCACAAAGATTCAAAATTGATAGGGGAAAACGAAGCTTTGAGCTCCAATTGTCACTTTGGCCTACTCGGAAATTGCCTTATCGATAGGCGGGTACTTAAAAAAAAAAAAAAAAGATTTTAAATATATTATTATATTAAAAGAGTATAGTTCAGCATCTATACTCCCTAAATATATTATTTTAAATAGTATAACTGCATGACTATACTATTCAAATATTTATTATATTTAAAGGGTATAGGTGAGCAACTATGCTCCTGACATATAATAATATATTTAAAGAGTATAGCTGCACAGTTGTACTCATGAAATATATTATTATATTTAAAGAGTATAGTCGAGCGGCTATACTCCCTAAATATATTATTTTAAGGCTATACTATTTAAATAGCAAATTAATAACTATAAAATATAAACTAATGAAAGTAGGCCACAAAATTTCAAAATTGATAAGGAAAAGAGAAGCTTTGAGGATAATGATTGACATTATAAGAAAATTTAAAATATATATATTTACTAGGTCTATCATTTGGTAATGATTGACACTATAAAAAGTATTAATACTTTAATAGATTGGAGATAGAATTTTGTAAAATAAAAAATAAAGAGAGTTGAGTAATGGCCTAATAGTAATAGATAATGCTCTAAATTACTCTTATCGATAAATAAAAAATCGGTAAAAAAAAGTTAAAAATAAAAAAGGGTTCCTGTATATATATATATATATATATAAAGAGTATAACTGCTCACTTGTACTATTTATAAAAAAAAAAAAAAGAAGAAAAAAATAGAGTACTGCCGCGCGACTATACAATTTTTTAAGAAATATTAATAAAACCTAATATAGCCGCGCGGCTATACTATTTAAAAAAAAGGGAAAAAGGAGTATAGCCGTGCTGCTAAACAATTTTTTAGAAACAATAATAAAACCGAATGTAGCTGCACGGCTATACGATTTTTTAAAAAAATTATAAAAACAAAGTATAGCCGCACAGATATACTATTTATAAAATACTAAACAAGAAAAAACACATGTGTTTCAAACTAGTCTTATTGATAAATTAAAATCAGGGAAAAAAAATTAAAAGAAGAAAACAATCCCAGTATATATATAGAGAGTATAACCGTTCGGCTATACTATTTTAAAAAAAAATCAGAAATAAACCCGGGTATCGCCGCACGGCTATACTATTTTTAAAATAAATAAAAAACTGAGCATTGCAAAGCGGCTGTACTATTTGTTAAAAAAATAAAATAAAAAAGAGAACGGCATAAGTATAGCCGAACGGAAATACGATTTTTTAAGGAAATATTAATAAAACCGAGTATAGCCGAACGGCTAGACTATATCTTGAAAAAATTAATAAAACCTAGTATAGCCGCGCGGTTATATGATTTATAAAACGGTATTAATAAAACCTTATCGATTAGATAAAAAATGGAGTATAGCCGATCGGCTATACTATTTATGAAAAAACAAACAGAGCAGCCGCTTAGCGCCAAGTAGCGCACGTGTCAAAAAGGTCTGGCAGTGCGGCTGAACATGAATAACACCGAGTATAGCCGTGCGGCTCTACGATTTTTTTAAAAAAAAAAGCCGTCTAGCTATTAGGGGTCACGTGTGAAATTCAGTATAGCCGCACGGCTATACGATGGATAAAAATTCTTTTAAAAACGGCGTATAGCGGCGGCTGGACCATTTTTTTTTGAAAAGGAGGGCTTCCTATCGATTAGGTGCCCAAGTGTCAAAAAAGTGTGGCAGTCCGGCTATACTATTTCTTTTATATATAAAAAACTCAGTAAAGCCGCGCGGCTATACGATTTTTTGAAAATGTGAAAAAAATCGAACGGGAAAAAAGAATTCGACGGTTCGATCTGATCGAACGAGAGGGAAGAAAGAGATGTGATCGACGGCAGGAGAAAAAGCTAGGCTTTCTCAGTCCTCGCTCGCTGCTCTCAAATGGCAACAAGCAAGAGAGTTTGGGAGTGATGGGAGCTTACACTAACTCTGATCCCATTTTACCACAAGCCCACCAATTCTTGCCTTTTTTTGTCTGGTAAGCCTTTCAATTCTCTATTTTCCCATTTCGATTATTTGGACTTAGACGGATCTTTTGGCATATAAATAGCGAGAATTTCATAAACCAAAAAGAAAATTTTGATTCTGACATATTGGGATAGTTGGAAATCGGAAGGCATCAATCAGTTGATTTGAAAGAATACAACTTTAATCTTCTAGCAAAATATAACGCAACCATTGATTACACATGTTTGGAATTTGAAGCAGCCGGAAAAAACCAATTCTTACAATGATAGAAATCAAAGGAAAATATTATGTTTCTTTATGGATAAACATTGTTGAGAGAGAAAAGAAAGGTTTTTTGTGTGTGTAGTGAATGTATAATTGTATATGCCAATGTGTATAAAATTTTGTCTGGTTATGCGTTTTTAGTCTCATTGTAGAATTGTAAATTTAAGGACTTGTAGGAATTCAGTAATTGATTTTTTAATCTGTCAATGTTGTTTGGAGGGAGCTTTTGCTGGGGCATCTGGGGCAGGAATCAGGTGTATCCGGTTGAAACCGAAATACTGGGGTCAATCTTTTCTTTGTGCAAGTCAGGTATGATAATAGAGTAAAGATGTTATAGATGTAACATCCGTGGCTAATGGTTAAAGCTCACTTTTTTGGTGTGTAATCATATGGATGTCATTGAACTTCATAGAAACTCTATGTAGGAAAGTAAGTTTTCAAGCATTGGATATGGCATTTTATTTTCTTGGTAAAGTCTTTCCATAGCTTAGTTTTGAAGCCTGGTATCAAATGTACGGTATTCCCTCCTCCTGCTTCCCTCTTCACTCTTTTTACATTATGATTGGAATCAGGCACCTCTTTAGGTCAATGATGTGCCTTCCACATAGTTAGCTTGATTTTTTATTGTTACAATACTTAGTTGGATTTTATTGTACTTAGTGTTTGGGGTTGAGGATTTCACAGGATTTTAGAGGACATCTCGTTCATCCCCTTTCTAACTATTTTATCATTAATAAAATCCATATTTGTTACCAAAAAAGAAAAGAAAAAAAGGGCTGGCTTCGAGGTTACTACGTGCACCCTCACTCAACACTGAACGAAAGGCAGGCATATGCACTCATATGACTTGTGATCATATTGTTGCGTAATTGTGGATTTGTTTTTCTTTCATTAGGCAGATAGTGGTCATCACTGCAATGGATGTAGCTTTTGCTGGTCTAATGGTATATAGAATAGTGATAGTTTGTATGTCTCGCTCTTTTACATCATTTGCTTTGTACCACTGGGAAAATAGGATCTCAACTCCAAATGACTAAACTTTATTCAAATAGGATTGCGACTCATAACATGCATTCACCACACTAGCTTATTGTTTTATTTTGTCCCAACAGGGAAAGTTCAGACATACCGTCTTTTGATCATTGATGAATCATAGGCAGTTAGGATTTTGGCCTCTAAATGATTTAGTTGTCATTACTCTGTTGCTCTTTCCTTTATAACCTCTGGTTCTTATTTCTTCAAAATTGTGATCACTATGCAGGTTATCATGAAGGCTTGAATATTTGACTGAGTAGGGGAAGAAAAAATTCTTACGCAAGTTCAAGTATCATTTAGTGCATAGCTCACCACTACCCTCGATGGGATCAATACAAGAGGTCAGGTCCCCTGATCAACCTTGAGGTACCAGTTCTGTTTTGTGGTTAATTTTATTATCATCAGTTTCAAGTGACTTTCAGTTGTCAGTGTGGGACAAAAATCTTTTGCTGTATAATGTGGTGTTAGTGTACTTACTATTACTTGAACAAGGCTCGACGAGTCAACAGTTGTGCATGTGAACACTGATCACATAGGTGCACAGGCACAAACATCATTTATCTTTCGTATCGTTTAGGGGTTTTTACAATCCTATTGCTGTTTTGTCAATGAACCCTGGACTAACATTTTGGTTATATGTTGTCACATAACAGAGTATTGGGGACAAAATTGAGGGGCTATTGACTGAAAATATACTCAGTAAAGTTTCAGTTGATTGTTATTTCAAACTGGCCTTTCAACATCGTCTCCAAGATGGGCAACTTTCCTTTCAATCTGGTATATTTGATATGGGCCTCACATTCATGTGTAAACTTTGTATATGGTTGTATTACTCATTGGCTTACAGTTAAATGTGATAGCAAAAGGATTTTCTAAGTTCAATCCATAATGTTTGTCGTGAACTTTAGGTCAATTAATGCCTGGATGCAATTCGTTGCATATGGATGGAGGAAGATGCACAGGGGATGTTCAAAGATAGCAGTCTTCTGGATTACACTTTATAATCCACAGCTTCAGCTCCAACTTTTAACGGCTGTGGTATTTGTGAGAGACCATTTCAAAGGATTGAGAACAAGCAGGAAGGTGCTAGCAGGTTAGTAGAGAAAAGGAATTGCCTTCAGAATGGGTGGAGTGATAAAATTGCACCTGAAATTTTTTTCGTATCCCATCTGGTTTGTTGAATTGATTGGGGTGTTTCCATGTATCAAAGTAAATATTTTGTACGAGAATTTGTGAACTGTTTTCATGTAATATGTGTACATACATATAAAGATAATGAAAAGAAGGTTTTTATGTTGCTTTTCTATTTTTCAGCTCGTAATATCCTTGAGGATCGGGGTAGGGGGAACTTAAAATTTTCCGACATTTAGCGGCAGTTTTCTTCGACGTTGCAAATAGTTGTTTTACCCACAGCGAGCGACGGTTTGTTTCGCTGCTAAAGACACTTTCTCGTTACTAAAAGTACGAAAACTGTAGCGAAATATCAAAACCCGTCGTAACAAAGCGTAACTGTCATATATTCGCTGATTGTGGTGAAAAAGATGCATCTTCGTCGTGAAAAGATGGTGGCGTTGCAAGTTATATGCATGGTTGTGTTATGAAAGGATCATGAAGATCATCAGCTTATATATAATTAAACTTTTTGCACAATTTTTACTGTCTAAACAAAAAGAAAAGAAAATTATAGAGACCTATGTTGATTAAGCTTACTTGAAAGAATCCCAATTGACGACAAACTGTTTTGATTTCTTGGATAACCATTGCTCGTTCATGAGGACCTTGTTTCAGTTTGCCAAAATCAATAGTGGGCGCATTGGTGATGTCTGGTTCGAACTTGGAAACTAATAAATTCAAAGGTACCATTTTTCTCAAAAGAAACAAAATTGTGTTTTTGTTTGGACTTTGTGCAGGGATGGGATGGGAGGCAACCAATTAAAGACAGTTTCCCTCTTTTGCATTCTCATTGGAATTGGGAAACTGAACTTGTGGATCATAACTTTCTTCCCTTTCTGTATGCACATTTACTGGAATATGGGAACCGGCAATTTCTCATGTTGGTGCTGCTTCAGTTGCAAATCAGACTACTGAGGGTCCCTAGTTAATGTATAAATCCCTATATTCATGGACTGTTGGAACCAAAAAAAATGGCGCATCATTCCATAATTATGATGAGAGTCAATGGGAAGGAAAAAAAATTTATTTTGATTGTTTTTTCTTTTCATATTGAGGAAAAATCTACAGAAACACTTAATCACATTTGCAATATGGAAGCTGCAAGGTTTGTGTTGAGTGTCTGCACAAGCAATCTAATTTCTCATCTCAATTTCTTGTACAAAGCAAACAAGCATATATGTTGTTCGCCAAGTCAGCAAAAAGAGAGTTTGGAATTGGAGGTGTTTAACTGCTCACCAACCGTTTGGCTATACTATTTTTTTGAAAAACTTTTTATAAAAAAAAGGGGTATAGCCACCCGCGCGGTATAGCTGAGAGGCAAAATTTTGACAAATTACAACTTAAATGTTCGGGACCCACACTATATATGCCACAGACGCTGGTTGCCGTGGCATAAAGCATTGGCAACACCATGCTTGAACCACAGTTGGGTGATTTGTGGCGAATATATATGTGGCCAACACCATTAGCTACGGGTTGTCTGGCTAATTGTAAGATTGGCCGCGGTATATCCGTGGCTTATATGGAGCTTTTCTAGTACTGATATCATCAGCTACTTGCTAATAAATATGTCTATGATGGGAGCAAGGACCTTTAATTCTTGTCTGACCCAACGTAGGCTGGCGAATTCTGAATTGTAATTGAATCAATAATACTGATCATAAGTCACATATTATGTTATTTCAGAGGGATGTCTGCTGCTATAACCAACATAATCTGTTAATTCACCATATAAATTCGCTCCAACACTTGGAGAAAAGAAAGAAAGAATTGTCATGAAACAAGGAGCAACGATGCAGCTAGCTATACTAGTGAACATATGTTAACAAAAACAAAGCAAGCCAAAGCCAAACTTTGAAAGAGAAAACCTTGAAAGAGAGAAGGATAAGCTTAGATGCTACCAAGGATTTGGTGTGAGCCAGGCGACTGGTCCCGTGAATAAAGATAAACCAGAAACGATGTAGTGTCTTAGATGTATATCATGTAGATCATTAGTGTCACTGTGGAGTACGTATTTGAATTCATGGCATTTCTGGCATAGAAACAATATCCGATCACGAATCCCGACAATCTCTACCCATCGAGGAGGAGGAGGAGCACCATTCTTATTCTGAAGTCTTATTATTACTAAACTCCAGCTTGAAAACTTGAAATGCTTCATCATAATTAGGTGGACATACAAGCAGATTCACAGAATGATCGTCCGGAAAAGTAATCATAATCAACTGCTTTGATGTAGAGAAATCTTTTGCAAGGGAAAGACGACTCTTTTTTATCCTAAATATATGGTCGAACCTTTCACGATCTGGCAGCCCGGGGGTGTCGTCAAGTACAACCAACCTTTGAGCTGTGTAGTGGAGTTGTTGATTATCATTTGTGTCAAACTGAAACACTAATAAAAACTGGGATAGGTTCTTGGTTGCAGCATATAGCTTCCCATCGATGAACTCTATAGATTCAAAGTTGAGGCCCTCCTCATCAATTCGGGTCCGTGATTTATCAGTGGGTCTACAGACACCCAGCCACGTCTTTTCAACGCCTGTGGAAAGGCAAGCCACAATACATGTACATGTACATGCGAGGGATGGGGGGCTTGGTACTGGTACTGAAGAGGCTACAAGTTTACTGATGAAGGAGGCAGCTGTGAGCTCATGTTTGCATGGTGGAAGCATCACTTGGCCACCAGAGATGGGATTTAGTAAGGTAATTATGGATCCCGTCCCATCAACTCTCATCAACCACCCCTCAATTGACCCAACATATTCATCATGCGCATCATCACTCGGCAGATTTAATTTGTAAAACTTCGGCTCATACTCACAGTAGCTTAAAAAATCGCGATAACGAGAACAGAAAAGCCATGGAAGTTGAGGAGCAGGACGACACGGTTTGCTGGAAATTGCCCTATCAACAGAGTCTGGCCATGAACGGCATACTGAGCGACACCGAAAATAATCGAATATGGATAGCCTTTGTAGAACCGATTGCATGATATCATCTGGCACTTGTTTGGACCACTTGCTGCTGCTGTTGCTGACTATCACCCATTTCTTCCTCATAATTGTCTGCTTAGACTTGGCATTCGAAATATTCTCCAGCCGATTCCTCATCGCCATCTATAAATCCTTAATTAGTTATTATTAATCTGATATCTGAGCAAGCAAGGGAAAAATCAAAGATTACTGTCAACTTAGCCGGGTGTAGATGTAGACACAAGTAATTAATGATCAAAATCGTCGAATTAAAAACCAAAACGAAACACAGACAGACAAAAAATTTCTTCTCATACTAACAAAACAATGTAGCTATGGAGAATATATATATTATTAGTTTATTTTTACTCAAGTAAGTGTTTCATATAATTTGGCTGTAGACACGCACACGACCTAATCGACTTATTACAAGTTGCATGTCAAATAGAATTCAAGGGATCCAAAAAGGTCCAACAAAGAAGAAAAAAAAGAAAGAAGCTTACCTGGCCAACAAGATTGTAATTATATCCAACAGATTCAATTCAGAAAGAACATATGTATTTGAGTTTATATAGACGTATGGAGTTTCCTTGTGGCGTTGTGGGATTAGGATTCCTGTTATGTTATAAATAAAAAATTGACAACCAAATATCCTTATAATTGAAACAATAAGGGTCTTAAGCTTATGATTATGCCTAATGGACTATGGTATATCAATTAATATGGAAATCAATATTAAATCATCAATTAATCTAACGAAAATTAATATCATATTATTAATTAAATAAGTAAATCATGTGATCGTACCTCGACTCGTGAGTCGCGCAACCTCTTCCTCCTCGAGTTGGCTACTGATTATACGGATACAACAAAGAGAGCCAAATTAGAAAAAAAAAATTAAGAAAAGATAATTTAAGAACAAAATTGACGTTTGCTTGAAGAAAAAAAAAAGCATAAGACTTAATTTGGAGTTGTGCAATTGGTGTTTGTTCCTTAAAAAAAAGTTTTGCTCAAAATTAGCTTTAACAAAATTGGTGTTAATCCTTTATAAAGATAGCTCCTCCCAATCCCACATAAATAAGGAGTTGTGCAGTGTAAAGTTTCCTTAAAAAAAAAAAATCCTTGTTTAAAAAGAAGAAGAACAAAAGCTTGTTAAAAGGCCTTTTTTTAATAGCCTTTTATCATGTTTTAAGTAGCACATATTAGAGCTTGTTAAAGCCCACGTTTAACCTTAGTCCAGTTTCTTTTTTTTCTTCTTTTAAACCCTGGTGGAAAATGATGTTGTTTTGGCTAGGATGTTTTATTAAAAAATAGGCGCGCGTAGCAAAACTTGGTTTTGGTTGAGGCAATTCGTTGAACAAGTTGAGTGCACCTCCCAACCTCACCAAAGGGGCAAGATGTAGCGCTTGTAGAGGTTTTTTCAGTGAGGGAAAATGCAGTTGTACTTCCTTGAGCCTTAATAGATCCGCCACTATGTACATCCAATCCAATCCAAAGTGCATTAGGACTTAAATGGGAAAGGGCTTCCTTTTGTCTTTTGAAATGCTAATTTATGTTTTCTTTTTCAGAGATATTTTCTAAGGTATGGAAGTCTGTTATTATTATTATTTTTTTCACGTTATCTCTAAAGAAAATAAAAAAGGAATAGATTGTGGGTCTTTTTTTGGTGCTCATCTTAGATAATTATTTTGGGAGATTCAATATTATACCCAATATAGAAGTCTAAATTATAATAAAAAATCCTATATAAAATGGAATTTAGAAACACACCCAAATTCTATTTACAACATAACAAAAAGGTTTTTAACTTCTTTTAAATTACAAAACTGCCATTGATTTCTTAAACAAACCCAACCCCAAAACCTCATAAAGAAGCCCAAAACACTCAATAAGGCATCAAAGTAATTTAATAATCAAAATTAAATTCAATAGGACTAGCTGTCATTTTTTAGGTTTTTTTTTGTTTGTTTATAGAAATTAAATGGTGTAGGGTTTATCTATATTATTAGTTGTAAGAATGAGTATATAACTAAGGACAATGATTTCTCCACTCCTATTTTATCCACTTACACTCCCTTTTTAGTTATAAAAAAGGAGTGTAAGTGGATAAAATAGGAGAAAAAGGAGTGGGGAAATCACCACTCATAACTAAATATCACTTTTTGTTGTTGTTGCTGTTGCTTAGAATTATTTATTAGCAAACAAAAAACAAAACAAAAAGTTTACTTATAAAGAAAAGTTATTGTGACATCTTAATTTAACATTAATTGATTAAAGAGAAAAAAGTTGTGGGTATTTTTGGTCCTCTTTTATTTTGTTTATCTTTGTCTAGAGTCTTTTTCGTCCAGCCTTTATTCTTGTTCTATTTCTCCTTGGTAGCTCGCAGTTTTCTCCTTTAGCTATTGGTTGGCCAGTTTAACATTTAAAATAGGTTTTTTTTAATCACAAATGGTCCCTTAGGTTTGTGAAATTATCATTTTTTGTCCTTAACCTTTTTTTGCGACACCAATAGTCCTTACGGTTACCCTCCACACATCAAAATGGTCCCTACTATTAGCTTCCATCAAATTATCTGTTAAATGGCTGACGTGGCATGTGTGTGGAGCCTACACATCCAATAATATACATCCACATGGCTTTAAATAAAATATATTATATTTTAAATATTTTAAAACTTAAAATAAAAAAAATAAAAAGACAAGAAGACCTGTACCATCTGCGTTATCCCTCTGCCAGTGCCTGCTACCCTTGCAGACCCACTCTTTGCCTCTCTCTCTCCTTTTCCTCCCTTCTCTTTCTCTCTCTCCCTCATCTTCCTCGATTTTTACTGGCTGATCTACCATATCTTGATGTAGTTTTTCCTATGGCCCCACAGATTGGCTGAGGCTGCAATACTACCAAAGACTATACGGGAGGATATATTTGTTTTGGCCTCTTCGGGTTTTTCTGGGGTTGGGGCTATACTTGGCTGAGGAATTGGAGCCTCTTGGGGCTTTTTGGTTCTGCTTGTGATTGGACATGGGTAATAAAAGCCATAAGCCTTTTGGCTTTGTACAATTAAAAAAAAAAGAGAGAAAGAGAAAGAGAATACATGGAGAGGGATAGAGAGAGATAAGGGAGAGGCAAAAAGTGGGTCTGTTGAGAGGAGGGAGGCGCTGGCAGAGGGAGGGCATGTGCAGGTCTTTTTATTTATTTATTTTTAATGGATTTAAGTTTTAAAATATTTAAAATATATTTTATTTTATTTAACGTCATGTGACTATATATGCCATGTCAGCAATTTAACAGAAAATTTGATGGAAGCTAACAGTAGGGACCATTTTAATGTGTCAAGGATAACCTTAAGGACCATTAGTGTCACAAATAAACGTTAGGGACGAAATGTGATAATTTAGCAAACCTCAGAGACCATTTATGATAAAAAAACCTTTAAAATAAAAATAAAAACATCATACAATTCATTGTGAATTTCGTTAACCGTGGGTTTATAATTGTTGTCCTTCTACATCTTCCTTGAAGTCGGGGTCAGGTTAATGTTCATCATGAAAAACCCCGACTTGATCTTTTTTGGTTCTAAATTTTTTAACCTAGCTTAAACTTAGCCCAAGGAACTGGTCTATTTTGAGCAAGAATTCTTCTACAGCATGGGTGGGAGTGATCAAATTGGGATAAGCCTCTTGTGAGGATTTAATATGTGGGCAAGCCCAGAACCAATAGGCATCACTTTGTTGAATATGAACTAGTCGATAACTGGAAACCTAATCCATTATCTCTCTTTTACAGTATTTGGGGAGAGCACAATTTCGGGTCAACCCAACTTAACTGCTCAAGAGAGCATAAATTGCTATATATGGATTGAGTTATCAGTTGGAACAAAAACTTAGGAGTGTTTATAATTTTGGGTTAACCTAACCAAACCGCCCAATCTGATCACAAAGAAATTGGGTTGGCCTAATAATGAATGAGTCTTGAGCCCAAAAATTACAAACCGGCCCAACCCATGTAATTATGGGTTGGGACCAATAATAAGAATGGCTAGGTTAGCCTAATAATGAGGTCTTAGTCTAAATTGAGTGGGTCTTGAGCTTAATAATGAGTTGGGTTATAAGTTGGGACCAAATCCAACCCAACCCAACTCATACCCGCCCCTACAATAAAATAATATTTTCTTATTGTATTAATGAGGGTCGAACACCGACAAAAGAAAACTAACCAAAGCCTAATGTGAACTAAGAGAGCCTACATAAATCTTCATGCTAATAATGTTGTTGCATTAACTTACATTGGAGTATATCATAGGAACTTTTTTTTATTTTCACAAGCCCCTTGGCATATGCTCACGCATGTGCCAATTGGTTTTCTTTTTTTTCTTTTATTTTATTTTTAGAATTAAGAAAAGATAATATGGGTAGTTATGTTCTATAAAAGTAGGACATATTTTCTGATTTTGTTTTTATTTTTATTTTTTTAATATGAAAAAATGTGAATTTACCATATTATCCTCATTTAATTAATAATTTCAATTTTTATTGTTTGAATTAACCAAGGGTATTTTTTGGTATTTTGAATGTTTCACTATTCTCTGCCTTTTGCTCTCTATATATAGATAAATTACGATAACATTTCATTTACTATTTCTTGTCGAGCATATTAACCTTTATGATTGTTCTTAAAAAAAAAGAAAAAAAAAACTTCATGGTAAAAACAAACTTTTGAACAGATGAATCACATAATTTTATCAGTTGATAAGAAGCTATAGATAAACATATCTCTAATCTCACCTTTGCAATACCCATACTTCCTCAACAACCCTTCTTTCAGAAACCCAACTTTCTCCAAAACCCTTTGAGACCCCTTATTCTCAACCTCCACCAAAGCCTCAATCCTCACCAAACATGGGAGCTCTCTGAACACCCTACACATGGCCATGCTCAATGCCACTGTTGCAATCCCTTGCCCCCAGTACTCTGCAGACACAACATAGCTAACATGTGCTCTACACGTGTCATCACCCTGTTCAGGTTTGACAGAAACATATCCAATTGATTGGTCATCCAAACATATGGACTGACGCCATGGATGTGTAGCAAGCTTGTCAATATATGTCAAGGCTTCTTCCCTAGAGGTTATGGTGTTCCATCTTAGATAGCGTGTTACTTTATCATCACTTGCCCATTTGAGGAAGTCATTGGCATCAGAGAGTTTGAAAGGACGAAGGGAAATTCTTGATGAGTTCATAGAATTGCAGGAAATTTGAGATGGTTCCAAGCTCAATTTGGAACAAGTAGGCATGTAAAGTGGTGGATTATATGAACGTGTAGCTTTGCCGTGGAGGACCAGGTCAATTATTTTGACACTTGCCATTCTTATCCAATAATGCATTTGGGTGCATTGAACCTGCCTAGAATACTAGTACTGCAAGCAGACAAATTAGCCACTATCTAAGAGACAAACCCTTATGTAATGGGAATAACACTTTATATTATTCCCGATCAATAATTCAATAATACGTAGAATAACTTTTCCACGTGTGATTGTGTTATTTTCAGGCTATCCCTGTTACATGTAAGAATAGAAGAAATGGAAAAATAATTAAAAATTGGGTTGAGCTAAAGTCTGGCCAACTCCGAACATAGTTCCATCCCGAATAACAAATATTGTCTAGTTAAAATATAACATGTTTATGAATCTGAATTATAAATAACAACTTGTAACACATGTTATGTTTTAACTGACGGTACTTGTCACTTAGCCTGTCATGTGTCAGGATGTCCAATTAAGTTTTTTTAGGACTATTGGTGGGTGGAATAAATTGCCTAGCAATATGCTAGAGGCATTGTAAAAGTACTTACAAAGGTAGACAATTATCTGAATTGTAATTCAATACCATACAAGCCTGACTGCAAATGCTTCAACAAGCTAGCTAGCATGAAAACGTGAGTTTCAAGGCATAGAATCAGAGGACAGAAGACTATACATGAAAACATCTTGAACTGCACCTTTGTGAAAAGTATACTTCCTCAAGAGGCCTTCCTTGTAGAACCCAAGTTTCTCCAACACCCTCTGGGAGGCCTTGTTCTCCACCAAAACCAGAGCTTGCATTCTGACCAAATCAGTGAGCTCTTTAAACCCATCACTTATGGCCATCTTCACAGCTCTGGTTGCTATGCCTTGTCCCCAGTACTCAGCAGCTAACGCGTATCCCACCTCTGCTCGACACTTGTCATCACCACCTTGTGGCTTGATGAAGAGAAATCCGATCGAACGGTCATGGATGCAGATGGATCTGCAATAAGGGTGAGGGATGCAAAAATCCTTGATGTAGGAAAGTGCTTCTTCCTTAGAGGTGAATGTGTTCCAACGAGTGAATTGTGTTACCTTTTCATCACCGGCATACGTCAAGAAGTCCTCAGCATCTGAGGGCCTATAAGGACGGAGTGTGATTTCCAGAGAATTGTTTGCCGACATTGAACCAATTTGCACAGAATGTGAAATAATAAAGAAGAAAAAAAGTGTCTTTTTCAACAGACAAAGAAAACTGCAAAGAAAAAAAACATGCCCAGTGTTGCCCTTTCTCGGGTAATTGGTCAACCAAGGCGGCCACAAGCACAATACTTTCTTGCTGATTGCTACATTTTCTTCTTGCCCACCACTCCAAGTAATTGACCAAAAGCAAAGAACCCACCTTGGCCCTACTCATTATAATACACAACCGTATTTCTTGGCAATTTATTATGCTCTCACTTTTTTGAGCATACATATACCCAAAGGCCCACAAATTCTTCCCACAATTACTCATATTTCCAAGTGACCATAACGAGAATTTGCCCACATGGAGAGAAGTTCAGGCCTATCAAATGGAAGAGAAGGCAGTGAAGCTGACTTCTCCATGATCACACTTAGGCCCTTGGAGCTTTCTGACATTGATGATTTCATGGTGTGGGCTACAGATGAGAAAGTGCCTCGTTTCTGCACTTGGGAACCTTACGCCAGCAAAGAAGAAGGCCTAAACTTCATCAAAAATGTTGTTCTCCCCCACCCGTGGTTCATGGCAATCTGCCTTGAAAACAGGCCTATTGGTTCCATTTCGGTGACCTCGAATTCAGGCAACGATCGGTGCAGAGGAGAACTTGGCTATGTTTTAGGGTCCAGGTACTGGGGCAAGGGGATTGTAACACAGGCTGTGAAACTGGTGGCTGATATTATATTCAAAGAGTGGACACATTTGGAGAGGCTTGAAGCTCTTGTTGATGTGGAAAATGTGGCATCTCAGAGGGTGCTTGAGAAGGCAGGGTTTCAGAGGGAAGGTGTTCTGAGGAAGTACTTTATTTTGAAGGGAAGAAGTAGGGATATGGTGATGTTCGCCCTTCTTTCTATAGATTGGCAAACTTGATGTATTTGTAATTTGTAAACCCAGTAAAAGCAACAAGAACATTAGTTATGTATTGATTTTATCTATTTTTCATTATTTTTGTTTGAATTTTGAGATCAATAATGGGATACACGTAGAGCAATGAAAGATGAAATCCAGACATTTCTGATATTGATTGATTGAGACTTCGGTGCAACTTTGTTATACTGCTGCTATATATTCAAATTGCTACTTTCCAATTTGTTACTCAGATCCAAGCAAATCTTAGCACACTTCTACATATAATATTGTGTTCTCTAACTTTAGGAAAAACACTTCAGCACGTGCTTCGAGTCAAGCCTTGCACTAGACTTCGAGTCAAATCTAATTTTAGAAAAACTATAAAGATTTCAACGCAAATCAACAATAAAATAAAGTTTCAGAAAACCTTGCGAATTTTCCACTTCTCACCTACTAGTCTTTGTGTATATCAGCCACCAATCGTTGAGCTGTAATTCTAGTTTCTAAAAGTAACGAGTTTGATATGTTATATTCTGAAACTGTAGTTGGTTGGTTAAGTGTAACTATATTCGAATTTTTCACATTCTTTTTAGTCATTGTGTATATTAGCCATCAATCGTTGCTCTAACTGCTGTAATTCTAGTGTTTAAAAGTAACAAGTTTGATATGTTATGTTGTGAAACCGTAGTTGATTGGTTAAGTACAATCATATTCGAATGTGTATCCTATTTCATAGTCTCACTACGTAACACAATTGTAACATATTATTTATTAATTTTACATTCATTAGAATAAGAAGTTCAAACTTGAAATTTCTTCTAATACCAAAAATAAATTACCATTAAACTGCTCCAATTTGCAGGGTTGCAGTTCCTTGCACTCTTTGTGACTTAAACTTGCCTAGTGTTTGTCCTGGCAATTGGTCAACCAAGGCTGCTGGCCATCAAGCGCGAGTATTATTTCTTGCTCACCACTCCACTGCAAAGCAACACCTTATTTCTAGGCAATTTCTTATGCTCTCACTTTCTATTTTTGTGCATATATAAAAGGCAAAGGCTCTTACAACTTCTGCCCATGATTGCTTTAGCCTTGGAGACAAAATTTCTTATATTTTTTCAGCCCTGCAAAGACTTTTCATAAAATTTCTAAGTGACCATAGTGAGAATTGTACACATATGGAGGGAAGTTCTGATATTGATCTCTCCAAGATCAGCCTTAGGCCATTGGGTCTCGCTGACATTGATGATTTCATGGTGTGGGGTACAGATGAAAAGGCCTCTATTTTCTGCACTTGGGAACCTTATGCTACCAAAGAAGAAGCCCTAAACTATATCAAAGAGAAGATTCTCCCACACCCCTGGTTCAGGGCAATCTGCCTTGACAACAGGCCAATTGGTGCCATTTTAGTGACCTCGAATTCCGGCGGTGACCGGTGCAGAGGTGAACTTGGCTATGTCTTGGGGTCCAAGTACTGGGGCAAGGGGATTGCAACCCAGGCTGTGAAATTGGTGGCTGATACTATTTTTAAAGAGTGGACACATTTGGAAAGACTTGAAGCTTTTGTTGATGTGGACAATGTGGGATCACAGAGGGTTCTTGAGAAGTCTGGGTTCCTCAGGGAAGGTGTGCTTAGAAAGTTTTTTATTCTGAAGGGAAGAACTAGGGACACGGTGATATTCAGCCTTCTTTCTACAGAATGTCAAGCTTAATATATTAATTTGTACCCATTATGCAAATGTACCCTATATACATATATATTAAAAATATGTGATGAACCATCCTTATGCAAGGCTTTTCATATTTTTTTTCAGGAAGAAATAATATTCTAAGTGAAGAAAGTGTTTGGTTGAATTGATAGCATTTCAGGAATAATGGTGGGTGAACAAAGTATTGTTCTTTTTTTTATATATTTTTTTTTATAAATGTATGTAAAATTTTAGGCTTAATTATGTACATGCCCCCTGTGCTTTCCAACTTATCTCAGATTACCACCTGTGGTGGAAAACGTCTCAAAGTACCCCCCAACGTGCAAAAAACTGTCTCACGTTACCCTTTCCGTCAGTTTTTTTGAAGTTCCGTTACGAATGTTACTGTTCATCTCCCCCAAAATTCCAGAACAGTAGCCCCTCCCCTTTGTTACTGTTCATCGCTTATTTACCCTCCAAAACTCAGAAATTTCTCCTAACCAACACAACTAGCAGCAAGAACAACTCGAGAGGTTGAAAAATCATACCTGGATCGAAGAAAATGGTGCTCGGAATCGCCCGAACGAGCAATGGAGATTTTGGGTAAAAACCGGCCAATTTCTTGCTTTTTTCGGTGATCCAGACGACGGTTGGCAGCGGCTGAGATGTGAGGGTGGTAGAGGACAACGTGCTGGTTCTTTTGATATCCATGTCGTCGCTTGATGAACAGTAACGTTCGTAACGGAACTTCAAAAAAACTAACGGAAAGGATAACGTGAGACAGTTTTTTGCACGTTGGGGGGTACTTTGAGACGTTTTCCACCACATGTGGTAATCTGAGATAAGTTGGAAAGCACAGGGGGCATGTACATAATTAAGCCAAAATTTTATAGTGCTGGCATATAACGTTGGTGGTAAGGGTGGACACAATTTTGGGTCAACCCGACTGAATCGAGGGTTGGCCTAAAAATGAGTGGGTCTTGAGTTCAAAAAATTACAAACTGCTATGTACGAGTTGAGTTACGGGTTGGAACCAAAACTTAAAAATAGATTTAATTTTGAATTAATCTGATCAAACCGCCCAACTTGATCACAAAAAATTTAGGTTGGGTTGGGTAGGCCTATATAATGATAGTCTAGGGTCCAAGAAATCATAAACCACTATATATCGAGTTGGTTTACGAATTAGGACTAAAACTGACCCAATCCAACTCATGTCCACCCCTAATTGGTGAGGAAATAGGACATGCAGGTGAGATTGTAGTTATTTTTAATGATGTGTTATACTTGGAATAATATGTATGGGAAATTATTCAATCCTTGACTTACTCTATGTTTACTAACAATGAGTATTGATATCAAATTCCCAATTTCCTAAAGTTAATTAACTCACAAGAATAAAAAAAATTATGTGAGTTTCACGTTAAATTATGTAGTCTAATATCAGAAAAATCAAGAATTAAACTGGTTAGAGAAGAGTAGTTAGTCGCATACCAATTTCTTCTTCCCTCTACTCCTAATTTTTCCCAAAGGACTTAAAAAAAATAGAAGCAAGTAACTCGAAATCAAATTATAACACAACAATTTCATTGCAATCCATATAGTACTAATAAGTAATATAATGATTTCTAACTATATTTATTGTCGTATAATATTTAATTGTTATTTAAATATTTGTATGATATTGTTGCCCCAACCATCACATTTTCATTTTCACTTTATTATTAGCTCAAATGATTAAGAATATTTATCTGTAATTTTCCTCTCCTAATATCGTTTGTATAAAAAAAGGAAAAAAAAAAAAAAAAAACAAGGCCTTTCCCGATTAATGGCTTTTCTAGTCCAAGTAAGTAAACATGCCAAGTATTTGTCTAATAGTTTACATTGATTTAGGTTTCCTAATTCTGAAGTAAATCACCGAATCCAAGGCCCATACTGATTATAGAGAGTCGGCCCAAAACCCAAACCAAATTCTTCTCTTTTGCGCTCCGCACATTGTCAGTGTCTCAGTCATCATCACTGTCATCACTTGCACAGCAGCAGGAGCTTCAGCAAGCAAGAACATCATCATCAAACATGGACCCACTCTCCGCCCTCCGCGACTTCACAATCCGAGGCGAGTTGGAGAAGATCGTCCGAGTCAACGACGAGTTCCGGTTCGACTCAGACTACAGCTTCCCCTGCCACGCCGAAACCGCCTACCGGTCCAAGCAGGGCAATCTTTATACCCTCGAAACTCTCCTTTATTACGTCACCAACCACCACCTCAAGCACACCGACTACATCCAGAGCGCTCGCACCCAGGGGATCCCCTCCGTCACTTTCCCCGACCGCAAGCCCCTCCTCGACTACCTCACCGGAAAGATCTCCTCTTCCGACTCCATCGAATTCCTTCTCCCCCCTCAAAATGACGCCGTCCATCCCAAACTCCCCAGTCTCGATCCGAACGTCAACAGCGGCATCAACAAAGACAGCAACGATTACGGTACGACTGATTCTAGGGTTTTCAGTCAAATTGAGACCCCGGTGGACTACATGTCGTTGATTTGCTCCGGGGAGAGGCCGTTGAAGGACCGGGAGGGCTTGTTGGAGTGTAAAGGGAGGAACTTTTACGGCGTTTTGACTTCGGCGACCAAGCGAGAGGAGGAACGACAGCGTATCGAGTCGCAGCAGAGGAAAGACGGGTTGGTGGCGAAGAGTAGGCTAATGGGTTCGGACGAGAGGGGTTTGACCGGGTTCGGGGACGAATCGGGTTACGACCCGAATCCCAAGCCCAAATTGCACTTGAAGGGTGGTAAAATTGGGGAAGGTGTGCCCATAATTTTGGTGCCCAGTGCGTTTCAGACGCTGATTACGATTTACAATGTGAAGGAATTTTTGGAAGATGGGGTTTATATACCAACGGATGTGAAGGTGAAGCAGATGAAGGGGGCTAAGCCAGACTGTGTGACGGTGCAGAAGAAGTTCAGTAGGGATAGGGATAGGGTGGTAACGGCGTATGAGGTCAGGGATAAGCCCTCGGCGTTGAAGGCCGAGGATTGGGATCGGGTTGTGGCGGGTTTTTTGTTTGGGGGAGAGGGGGGGGGGTAAGGGTTGGGCTGGAGCCTTTCTGTTCTGGGCTTAATTTGATTGACAAATAGTTATCTGGGTCATAAGGATATTTGCTTTCTGAGTTTGTTTATGTGATTGTTGAAACAACAGTGTAGCTTATGTGATTTGGGGTTGTTTGTGTATGTTTGTCTGTAATGCAGTCGTGGGGTTTTTCATGCGTTTTGAAGATGACAGTGTGGAGTCAGCTAAAATTGTGAAGCAGTGGAATGTAAAGATCATCTCGGTGAGCATCTTGAGCTGGTTTGCTGCTTTGATTTTAGTCAGTTATGTTAGTTAGGGTCTTGCTTTTGTAATTCGAATCATTGTCAGTGTCACTGCATCTTCCACTTCATTCTTTTATCTGTTTGTTCTGTTCTCATTCCATGTGAACATATATTCTAAATGTGCAGATTAGCAAGAATAAGCGGCATCAAGATAGAGCCGCGGCATTAGAGGTGTGGGACAGACTAGAAGAATTTGTACGGTCACGGTCACATTCTTGATGTGCGTCAAGTTTTGGGGAGAAGGATGTATGCAGCTGTCTCATGTTGGAGATCACTTGGATTTTGGTGCTCCTGTCTGTAACTTTGAAGTTTAGTTGCAAAATTTTGAGGATATTATAACCTTATGTTTTTAGCTGAGTGGAAGTTATATCAATCAAGAGAAGAGTACATGGATAGATGATTGGTTGGTTGAATATCAAGGGTAGATATTTGAAGATGGATTTGCCATTTTACAATTTATGCAAAGATTTGGCATGCATTTGGCTGCTCGCACAGTTATTTTAAAGGATTTCTAATTTATCTTTGAACTGATTGAGAAATAACAGCCGGCTCCCTTGAATCAGCTTCTCCTGAGCTTCTTCAGCCGGAGTCCTAGACACTGCTTGGCTTGCTTGGAATTGCTGGATGTTTTACATATTTGCAAGCTTTGGAGTGTACAAGACCGACCATCTCCTCCGACCAATGCCAAAGCCAATCGGAGGGGCTAACCTTGTCATACAGAAAATGCGTTGAGTGGAACTGCTATGTGGCTATCCCAGAGAATGGAGATTGAAAAGCTTATTTGTATTAAAGCCCAAATTTTTTTTAAGCTGGTGTTAAAGTTGCAGTCTTATATTTTCCGATGGCTCCTTTACGGACGCCTTTATGTAATGCCAGTACCCCTGGTTGATATTCAGTATCATAAATCTTGTATAATTGATGCTTTTCAGTGCAACAATTTTGCTCTTGGCAAGTGCATTTGTTTTTGTTATGCTCCCTGTGTACACTCAGAAACCAGAAACCTTTATTATCAAAAAGGGAAGAGAGCAGGATGCCTCTTCTGTAGTACAAAAACAAATATAAACCTCTCTGTTGAGGTCACAATGAGTAATAAATTACATACATATATCTAACTACTGAATTCTAAACAATAATGGAATACATTAACAATCATCAAGAGCATTATGTGTAACTCGAAAGGTTGGCCAACAGGAAAGAAAATCAGCACATTGAGAGGGTAGCATATGCTGCAGCCAGAACAACAAACAGTTGAGTTGTAGACAACTTGATGGAGTTTCCAGATGAGCCAGCTTCAGTTGATGGTACATTTTTGGATCCAGTTCCTACACAATATGAACATCGTAATTTGAGATGGAGCAGAGCTTTTAAACTTTGTTAAGGGGGAAAAGAAAAGAATACAAAACTATTTTATTCATGCATAGCTGAAAGAATGATATGAACTATTTTGTACCTGAAGGACCATCACTTGGAGATTCTGGTGTTCCTGCTGGAGAGTCAGCTGGAGAAGCAGCTGCGCATTTTTAGCAGTGTACAATTAATTAGTAGAAGATTAGCATCGACACGAGCCAAAAATTAAAGAAAATAATCATCTGCAGGCTTACCGTTACACTGGCTGAGGGGTGGAGTCTGAACATTGCAGGCACCTGGTAATGCCAGAGCCTGAGTTTGATTGACATTGATCCCGAGTGATGAGCCACCGCCGTTAAGGACCTCACACAAGCACTGTGGAGAGGAGCGGACGACGCTAGCAAGCTGTGAGCAGCATCCTGAAGAAGGGGTTGAGGAGTTGCCAGTAATGTAATTGAGGCAAGGTGACATACTGATGATCACATTGGTACAACTAGACTGTGCTGCTGCTTTCGCCAAGAACATGGTCACCAGGACAAGGACCAAACTCATCTCCATCCTTTGTGCCATTGCAACAATTAAGTTCTTGAATTTGTGCAGGAAATGCTTGAGAAGTTGTAATATCTGTACTGGGATTTGAGTGTTTGATTAACTTGGTGAATTTTAGAGGAGGGGCATGGGCCTTTTGTAGGGGGCTAAAAGAAGAAACAGACAAAATGTTGGCTTAATTGGGTAACCAACTTCTCCTACTTATATTATTTCATAATGGGTCTTTTGTACGTATGAATCTTGGAACTTCAACATTTTATTCAAATGTTGTGGCTCTGCTGGCATAGGACTAGTTTGGAGGCCGGTTATTGGGTGACCCAACTTCTATTGTTTTTGGGGATCTGTTAGAAGCTGGAGACTTCGAGAAATTGTTAGAGCAAAAAAGCTACGTACATAGGAAGCGGGTTTTGGAGAGAAGGGAAATTACATTTGTATTCTTATTTTTTCGGTATTTCAATCGGACTGATGCGCATGGTTTATTTGACTTATGACTGTGTACAATGAGTGATATTGGATACCTGTCAATGAGAGAGGGTCAACTACTCTCTTATCCTGTATCTGCATGCGTCTGGCAGTATCTTTGCACATAAGTTGGTCAGCGAAAAGTTGGGATGGTAGGGTTGTCAAAATGATTATTGAAGCCAATTCTTTTTCTTCTTTTTTTTTTTGGTGAGAGAAAGCTTCTCAGCAAAATAGAAATCTGTCAATATTGAAGTCCTTTTGCAAATTGGAGTACAAGTAGCATTTGTGGTTGAGTTTTGGGCTCTCCCAATACTACTAATTTTCGGACAAATGTGAGTTATGCTACTTGATGACGATAGTGTAACCCCCTCCTTGCATCCGAGTTCGAGTCCCTCTCCCATAAATTATAGCAGTTTAGAATATCGCATTAAAAACTCTAGTTTTGGGATAAACATTACCCTCATTTGAGAATATCCTAACACATTTGAGAGCTATTAACCAACCATATGAATCCACATGGCATCAGGGGGTTAGAAAATTTCCTAGCCACCACCAGGTCAGCCAAAATGCAAGTCAAAATGGGCTCCATACAAATATGCCACATAATGCAAATCCCACCTACTCAAAAGTTCCAAAACCCCTTGTTTTCACAAAAGTTCGTTAAGGTAGTTGAGCTCCAAAACCAACTCACCTGTTTCTTCCCTCCACTTCTCCTCAATCCCCTTCATGTATAAATTCTCTCACCCTTCTCACCCCTAAACACAATTCACTAAACCCATCTAACTCTTCTCTGATAGCACCATAAACTTATACATTTTACCTACTCCTACAAAACCACAAATTTGCTTCAATTTACAATTTCAGATATGGAGATTTCAGTGCCTTTTTTCCGTCTAGCTATGGCATTGGCAATGACTCTGGTCTTGGCTATGCCTGTCTATGGCCAAGTTGGTTCTCCTTGCAATGCTTCGGCGATTTCTAGCTTGACCCCTTGCATGAGTTTTCTCACTAATAGCAGCTCCAATGGCACCTCACCAACCGCAGACTGCTGCAATTCACTAAAAGCGCTCACAAGTACCAGCAGAGATTGCTTTTGCTTAATTGTAACTGGAAGTGTTCCCTTCCAACTACCGATCAACCGTTCTCTAGCCATCTCTCTCCCTCGTGCCTGCAACATCCCCGGCGTCCCACTCCAATGCCAAGGTAAAAGAAAAAGTTTCTAATTTCATATCGCACTTGGGTTTTCAATGTCAACGTGATTGTGTGTATCTTTTTAATACGAATACTAACATGATGTTTATAATGTGCAGCCACAGTTGCACCTATTCCTGCTCCAGGTACGATTATTATCGCTTTCTTGCTAGTTTGACATGTTATATTATCAATGGGACATGTTACATATAATTCAGATTCTCTCATAACTTCATCAGTGAACATTAATTTCTTATATTGTTATGGTTGTTAAGTTGGTGAACTAATGTTGACTAATTGTATTTTTGGGCAGGTCCTAGCTCCCTTGCGCCAACCCTCTCTCCTGGAGCTTCACCATCTGGTCCAACAGGTAATCTCTGAAATTAGTACATTTTCAGCATAGCTGTCTGTCTCATTTAAAAAGGCAGATGTATAATTTTTTTAGGTGTCTAAAATTGTTGACACACTTCTTGTTGATTCCCCATGTATGTTTCTCTTGAGCAGCTTCCTCTGTCCCAGAGCCAACCTCATCTGCTCTGTCACCGGAATCCGACACAACACCACTTTTAACTCCGCCATCTACAACAGGAGGCTCTGGAGCTCCAACCTCAACTACAGGGAGCCGCCCTGTTTTGACTCCTTCGGCTGCCTTTACCTCTTATCGTCTCTCACCCTCTCTTATGCTTTTTGCATCAGGCATTCTGGCTTTGAAGCTTTTCTAGGCTGATTATGTTCATCTCTATACAGATTTCCATACATTATTTGAGAAATATTCTTTTGTTGGTATGAGTGTGACTATAGTTTTAGGCTAGTTTAGATCATTGCAACCCATGTTGGGTGATTATCTATTGAAACTTGGGTTTCTGTATTGTATAATTTGAATCAGTGCAAATAAAAATTTGTTTTACTTCATTTTGGATCCCTTCAGACTTTATTTTGGATCCCTGCAGGGATGTCACTGCATACATGGATGAAAAAAAAGATCATTAAAAAGAGAAAAGCTTAGAATATCTCAATTCTTCTGTTCTATGTCACCATTTAACTCTGGTAGTGAGAAGGTTCCTCAACAGAGAGGTCGCTGCATACATGAAAATGGAACTCAAAACAAATTTATTCGGTACTGATGAAACTGTCATACAAATAAATCAATAAAATGGCCTTTTCAACTTGGTTAGCAAAATGTTTGAATTGTATAGCGTAATTATCATAATTTCTATACTTAACAATAAAATGGCATAAAATATCAGTTCAAGCTTATAAATATGCAGACAGAGCGAGACATAATTACCTTCTGATTCAATGATAGTCATGGGCATGAGGAGATTGGTTTTCTCCGGGATTTCTTGGATTTTGGCATTTCTGCTTTGTGTTTCACCATCTGCAGTTAAAACCCAAATTCCTGGCTGCTCCATGGTGGGTCTAGACCTTGAGCATTGCTTGAAACTAAGCAGTGGCTTTGTTTCCATGGATGATACTTGCTGCACAGCCCTTAATCAACTCGTCCAAGCCGGGTATGGATGCTTGTGCTCTCTGATAGCAACATCCCCATCTCTGCCTCTTTTAGGCACCCCCCTTTCATTGCCATTATCAAATTGCTACATATCTGCACCACCGAGTCGTGGTTGAAGCGCTGCAGGCTCCATTGAACTCAACCAGCAATGGAAATGCTACAGTGTTAGAAGCAAAGCAGCCGCCAGTGACCAAAAGCACTGATGATATATCAAACAGAGGAAAAGACCAAGCTGCATCCACTGCCAATGCTCTTGCTTTCCTTGGCTCTTCAAGCTTGTAAAGCATTGTATTAGTTTTAATTTTCTATTTATCTATGCAATAAAAAATCAACTGATAATCTTATAAATAATGATTGATTTAAAACTTCTATAAAATCATCAAACAGTTTAGTGTTGAGGCCTCTTCTTGTTACAATTAGTTTGGAAAAAAAAACTACCGACTGTCAACTGCCTCCAAAATCCTAAAACTTTGGGTAGTTGGTTAGATAGAGATCACATTCTTTTCGTTATTAAACAAACCTAACAGCCTTCACACAGAAGCCAGAAAGGGTACTTTCGGAAAATCAAAATTCCTCTGTTTCCCGCCATTTCTCTCTCAACACTCAAAGCATGATCACCACCACCACCGCCCTGCACCGGTGGCTCATGGCCTTCGTCCTAGCCTGGACACTCGTCGTTCTCTCCGCAGCAGCAGCAGAACCACCGCCGCCGCCAGGTTGCGCCGACGAACTCGTGAGGTTCTCGCCGTGCCTGCCGTACGTGTCGTCTCCGCCCAACAACCGCTCCAACTCGGCCCCACCCAAGTGCTGCGACGCATTGTCGTCGTCGTTTGAGTCCGGCGGCGCCTTGTGCCTCTGCTACTTGATCCAGGACCCTCCGATGCTTGGGTTTCCGGTGAACGAGACTCGCGTTCTGTCTCTGTCCTCCACTTGCCCTCTCAGCAACAACGGCACAAGCACAAAGAGCGCTGATAATTCTTTGGAGTCGCTCTGCTCAGGTTCTTGACTTTCTTCAACATTTTCCTTTGCCCAATTTAGTTACTTATCGATTGAAAAATTACCAATCTTTATTTCTTAAAGCTATGAATGTAAATACGATGAAATTTGGGTTCGAAATTCTAATCCATTGGGTAACTGCAACAGGGTCGCCTGAACTCCCTCCTCTCCGCAGCTCAACGATTTCAGGGATTTCAAGTCCTTCTCCTTCTCCTTCTCCTTCTGGTACATTTGGATTAGTCTCTCACTCCTTCCATGATTTTCTTGGATTATTTATTTACCTTCGTTTGGATTATTGTTCGTTTTTCAAGTACATTGAGATTTGAGAAATATGCGAGTGAATAAATGGGAGCATATTGGGTTGACTAGCTACCTTTGACTTAGGTTTTTATTCATTATTTTTCAGGAGCTGACAATGCTTCATCTCCTTTGATGAGCTTACCATCAGAATCAACAAACAGTTCAAGCTTGCTGCCGGGAAAGAGATCGCCGACAACTCCACCAAGCTCAGCAGTAGAACCAGCTGGGGTGTCTACAGCAATGAAGCACATTTGCAGAAGCAATACATGGTTTCTACCTGCCGTACTGATTTTTCTTGTTCCCATCTCCACTCACCTGTAGTACTAAGCTCATCTGATCATACACCTAATCAAGCATACTTGTGTTACTCTGTTACATTGATATTCATGAATTTGTATATTCTGATACAAAGTTCTGCTTAATTGTGTGATGATGACCTGTGATAATTGAGCAATGAAGTCTAAATTTCTTTAGAAAAGGTATTAGCAATATCAATTCAATATGGCAGTAGGCAAATGAAATTCACCCCTCATCTATTCTTTATAATTGTATGATAATATGCCAACTACTTGAAGGCTATTATAAGTAACTTCATCTGCATCAACTATAAAACCCACTTTCACAGCATACACAATGCATTAACTGCAGTACTACTTGGCACTAGCTTCACGAATCCTGCTTCAAAATCCAGCTCCACCTAGAGCCACAGACTCATGGCACACCAAAAGCGAAAAAGGAAAATATATTTCCAGCCAACAATCATTGTAAATCCTGGGATTCATAGTATATGAAGAAAGACAAATGCTTTATTGTCGCATTATATGTTCAGAAACTCAGTATTTACTTCCAGCCATCAGACCATTCAGCTTCATCATCCACGACAGGTTGGGGAGCTTCTGTTTGCCAGGACTTTTCCATGACAGGTTGGGGAACTTCTGTTTGCCAGGAGTCTCGAGCCCATCCATCATCTCCAGAGCACCAAGTGTTTCCTTCATTGTTTAAGAGATCTTCCTGTGGGTCCTCATAAACAAGCTCCTGCCTCTCAGGGGGGTTACAGCCCAGATAGGATGAGTTGTCTGCACAACGCCATAGAAGCCTGTTCCAGTTTGGGTCCTGCCAAAACCAAACAACTGATATTATAAGAAAATAAATCCTTGAATTGCACATATTTATTTATATAGACCTCAGTTGATTTGAGAGAATGTCCTGCAACCTGTAAGACAATGGGACAATACCTTGCTGATGATGTGCGGATTCCCAATTACAATTAGCAAAGCTTTAGCACGAGTAATAGCCACATTAAACCTTTTTGGATTGCTCAAAAATCCCAAACAGTATCTTCTGTCAAATTCATCGTGTTTGATTGTTGATCGGACAGTTGATATTATTATAACTTGTCTCTCTTGTCCCTGAAATTGCTCAACACTTCCAACCTTGATGTTAGGCATCTCCAAATTTTCGAAAGCCTTCTTCAGTTTTAGTACTTGCTGCCGGTAAGGTGCTATGATCCCAATATCTTCCTCACTCAAATTCCTTTTTGCAGTCAATCGCTTAGTGACCTCTACTACCTTACTTGCCTCAGTCCGATTAAACCACGATGGATTACTTCCTTCCCTCTCATCACAGCCTTCGATGCCAAAGAAAAGAACAGGGAAATCCTTGTTAGGAAGAAGGTCCACCCTTGCCATGAAGGGAACTGAGTCATCTTTACAAGCAATCAACTCTTGTCCATAGAACAACATATTAGGGAGATACAAAATTTCTGGGTGGCATCGATAATTTCTAACCAATTTTGTTACATAGCTTTTATCCCCATTACTATAAAACTCACATTCGAACATTCTCTCCAAGTATGATCTCCCCAAACCAAAGGATTCTGCTTGGCTGGAGTTTATGATTGGACCTAATTGCTTAGGGTCTCCAGCAAGAACAACTACTGTATTCCGATGGTAGAGATTCGATATCGGGATCATGGTTTCTGGTTCTGAAGCTTGGCCTGCCTCATCCAAGATAATATGAGAGAAGTGGCCTCGTGGGACACCTTCTGCATGAAGCAAAGAGGCACTCATATAGGTTGATATGATGATCCTATAGCGCACGAAGACACGGAGTTCAGGACACTTGAAGGTATCGTCATCAAAGAAGCAGAAGTCAATATGGTTAGGATTGACATCTTCATAAGGACGGGAAGATGCATTGAGCCTGAATATTTCGTTCTCTCGAACTGCTGTACCAGCCTTTGCATTGAGGAGTTTTTCCAGAATGTGGTCTGCTGCACTATTTGAAGGTGCACACACAAGGATTCTAGTATTCTTCCGAGTTGCATAGAGTTGGAGGATTGCTTCCACTAATGTCATAGTCTTGCCTGTTCCAGGAGGACCATAAATCACATAAGGTGGCCCTCCTTTGCAGCCAAGGATCATCTCAACTGAGCACATCTGCTCCTTATTAGGTGTACAAGATATAGGCACCAGTCGAGTGCCTCTAATCATCCTTCTTTGATAGGACTCAGATGGAAAAAGGAACATTATCTCTAATTTTTCTGCTGCATCAACCGCTTGATATAACCTTCTCATGGTGATTCGATTAAATGTAAATTGTACACTATAAAGGTTACCATCTCTGTGGCATGCGTGAAATTCTGGAGGAAACTTCAAGTATACATCATCAGCCTCAACACGGTAGATATAACCCTGAGCAGAACACATTAAATTTTTTTGGAAAGATAAGCTATAGAATTCTGGATATTTAAATAACATGAAAACATTTGAGTATTGATGAAAAAGGCCAAATACACGCATTAGCCAACAGCTTGTGAAACACAATGCATATGCATGGATTAAATCTCTTTCTTCATGAATGAACTGCCCATGGATCATGAATGGCCAACTTCTGCCAACATTAAAGGAAGGAACCTTTCAACTATTTTCTTTGGCCAAAAATTACTTTGGAGAATGATTTCAAGTACATGACAAATTATAAAATGTAAGAGTGGCAATAAGTTGTTTTAAAATATAAATAGTGTGGAATGATAATACTCTAGAAGTCCAAATCTATATCGGTAGAGCTAAGCATTTACAAATAGATAGATGAATAAGTATATAATACCAACAGCTAACAATCATAGCATACAGTAAATGCATTAGATGTTTGGTCTTAATGATAAGATTTCGTTTCAGAAGGACAACCTGATACGGAGGAACTGTATCATCTGCATACTCAGAAAGTTTGGCCAAAACATAATCCCCTTGGACAAGTGAAGGCCTTCTCTCAGCAAGCCCTGGGACTTCAAGGGACAAAAATTGAGGTCCTCTCTTCCTCAAAGTAACACCTACCATATCATGGCTTCTCATACTTTCCTGAAGCAATCACCAAATTTATCACAAATCAAGAACAACTTCATACAGTGTTGTTACAAAATGAAGAACTTACCTCTATCTGTATTTCCTCCATGATGAGTAAATTTTTGAAGTAATGTGCATAGTTCCCTCTCGTAAGACCTTCGGTGACAACATAAGGAATCTGCTTGCTCTCAAGTAATTCTCTGATGTCTTTTGGAATGTCGTATCGAGGAAGCCTATTCTTGTACGGTCGTCGGTCTGTTACTCCACTAGGGCGTACACCCACATGAAAACCATCCACAAGAAGTGGTTTCTTTCTAGTGGCTCTTGTGTATGGTTTTGTTGAGGCCATAGATTGGGATATTTTATCTTCTGCTAAGAGAATAACAACTCGTTCAATCTGTTCAGTCTCCAAATCAAAAAGCACAAAGGCCTTGTGCTGACCAATTTCCTTGGGTTTGCAAGATAGCCATATAGTCAATGTATCTCCTGGCTGAAGCATTCTGTCCTCCAGAGAAGTAGACTCAAGGAAGGCTTGGATGGTTTCGACATCAGAGTCTGCAGTTGGGGGTTTCATCAGAGAAAGCTTGAAAGAGTCCTCTGGACTTGAGGCGTAAATTTTAACACCGCATAGCTCCACCGGGTCATGGGTGGTGTTCTTAATAGTTATCTTATCCACAGTTGTTTCTCCTACGCATACTGATTGAGGCTTTTCTCCTTGCTTTCCACCCACATAAGGGAATGGGACTGAAATAACAATTGGACCTTCTTCATTTGGGTTGTAACTACGCACCGATTTATCATCCTCGAAATCTATGAAGCCGATTTCTCCTTTGTCTCCAATGACAGAGCATTCCTCATCCGACTTATAACCATTTATACCCATCACCAAACGGAGACTGACATGAAGAACAAACTGTGAGTTACAAACTAGGGAAAAAATGAATAAAAAAACAAAGAGAGAGGAGAAGAAGAAGAAGAAGAAAGTGGTTTCTGACTAGAAGATTAAGGTATCCAATGATAAGTACCAAAGACCAAATCCCCCCTCCCCCGTTGATCCAGATAGAAAACTACCAGTCTACCACAGACCAATTTCGCTACCAAGGCTTGGCAAAGGTACATTGGAAGCAGTAGATTCAAAATCAGAAAAACAATTACATGAAGGCTCCAACAAAGTTAGTAGACCCACAATCAGAAAAATCGCAGAACAGGAAGAGCAAAGTGAAAACGCGGCTACCGTGAAGCATTTAACAAAATTTATATAATCTTACATCAATTCCAGAAACCCATATGAGAACCAAACTCTACATTAATACCCGAACGCACGCAACAAACACATTGACAAATACAAACAAATACACAAACAATAAGAAATCGCTATGAAAGAAAGCTAAGAATCAGTTGAGAGACAGACCTGAGAAAAGAAATGCGGAGGCCTTGAACGACAGAGATGACCCAGAAACCCACCGCTGATCAAACCTCAAAGACTAGATCTTTGAGAGAGAACCAGACAATCCGAAAAAGGGTTCACTGCATTTCATCAAATAGAAAGAAATAGGCAAATAAAGTTCAACTTAGTGTACAAGGAAGACTGGAGAGTGAGAGAGAATGAAAAGGAAAAGCCCCGGACAAACCAAAATACTATTTTGTAAAAGTTGCAAACAAACAAATAACCTGGACCCATGATTTGATTTGTGAAGTGGCATTTTCCAGTTTTAGATTCATCTTGTCAAAATTCTTCGCTCTAACTTCCCCCTTAAGTATTATCACTAGTGAATTAGTGATGGATGGCCAAAACGTGGTGCAGCGGTTCAATTTTCTGCTGCTCCATACAGTGCTCAACATGGGATAAAGGGGTATCCTGTATTGTCTCGTCCCTGCCCAAAACTCATTTCTGTCAAGGTCGGATAGAATAGCCCAAAGTAATTGAATTTGTGTTTCCAGTTTCATGCAAGTTTTATGAGAGTGAACTGTGAGTATGGGCCCATTGCATTCAAATAATATGATCATATAAAAATACTCATCTGGTCTAAAATACACTGCCCATGTTCCAAGGTTTAGGTTTTTGTTCATGAAAGATTTGTGAGACTTTTTTTGTGTAAATACCACGAGATGTCCCCACACATAAAATGTGGGATTAATCCCCGCTCGGGATTCGGCTTGCCTCTAGCTCCAAAGTGCTTTTAACGGGTTTCAGACCCCCATTATTGAGGCACCAGATAACTCGCCAGCTAGAGGTGACAGTTTGCCAACCGCACAGCACCTTGTGGTTGATTTGTGAGACTTTTCAAATGATAGAAGAGTTGAGTTACTTTTTCTTTACAAAAGTTGAGTTCCTTTGTTAGATGGACAATTGCAATATAAAACAACAATTTTAGAGATTTATTTGTGCATGAACACCAAACATAACCACCACCCATATAGGAGAGGTTCGAAATCCTGAAGTCACCCAATGAATATTTGTGTTTGCATTAACACAAATAAAAAACCACAGGGGAAATAAGAAATCAAAGATATTTCCAACAAGAAAAAAAGAAAAGGAAATGAAAGATAAGGAATGAGGAGACAATGAAGCCTCCCACATGTTCAACATACCCTGTCCCCTAAAGAGAGTACTCCAGTCATTACAAATGAAACTCACACTTTTAAGGACCATTTTTTTGTTTTCAAAATACAACTATTCCGGCATATCAGAACTTCAAACAAGAACAGAGCTACTTTTAGCATTTTAAATAGGTTCTGGCAGGACATCAAATTCCCTTCCTAGCATTGTCAAATTCACCCAGCACAAGTTTAAAAGTAAACTAAACAGAAGTCTGATGACAGATATTAAAAGATCATGCGGCAGCAACACTAGCATCCCTGATGGATTCCCGCCACGCATACTCCCTCGCACCATCCTTGTCAACTATCTTGATGACAAAATTGGGGGGAGCCACCACCAGCCTCGACCGGATCTCAATAATGCACTTATCAACCAGATCAATTGCTTCCTCCACAGACATGCCACTGTGGTAGTGCCTGTCCATCAGTGAGAGTGCGAAATATGACCCATATCCAAAGGCTCCCTTTTCAACCTTGTGAAGCGAGGCAATGTAGTCAATGTAGTATAGGGATGCCCCGGCCTCTTTGTCAAAACCAGCCATAAGGATGTTCACCATGTATGGGTTCTGAAAAGAAAGAAGAAAGAGAAGTTATACATCAACTAACAACTATTTAAAAATTCTATTGGCTTAAAGAATAAAGGTCAAGTTAAAAAAGCCTTCCAGGGATAAACTAAGCAATGGACTTCTTGGTAAACAACACAATAAATTAACCGTATGGTTATTTGTTCTTAGCAAATGAAAATTCAAAGTGGAGTTTGCACTAGATACAGCAAATTCAAAACTAAGTGTTTGAAGTCGCAAAAACAATAAAGAAAAAATTTGTGACTTCAAAAGGAAAAATCATAGTACATACAACCTTTCTTGAGTGTTTGAACCCCCACCCCAAGAATTTTATCCTTCCTTTGACAATACCCATAAAAGTGAACTGCTAGTGTCTAAAACCACTGGTAAAGCCAATTTGGGGAACCCAAGTTGACTAAGCAAATTTCTAGAAATACCATCTTCAAATATTCACTATTTCATTGATGCTCCTTGCGCTTAGGAACAGCCTCAAAACTGAGAAGCTTATAAAATACTGCAGACTACCCCGGTGATTTACCCTCAATATCCTAGACCTTTGATGAAATGGTAAGAACATTCCTGAGATAATGTTCTAAAATACAGATGCAATCTCGTTTGAAACCATAAGCAAATGGTAATTCAAATAGAGGTTTAATGTATAGAAGCAAAGGGGGCGAGGAATGGTAGGATACTTTGAGGACTACTAGGGTTGGACTTGAAGGCAAGAAGTCACTAGAATTTTAGAATTGATTCTGGAAGTTGAGGCAGCAACTACTCCATCACTTTGGGTTTCATGGTGATTAAAGCTAGGGCTGTTATCAATAAAATCAGGGAAGTGAACTTCAGGGGGCGTTTGGTAGTTGATGTAAAACAGATGAAAAAAGCATTTGGTGTAATGTTTTTAAAGTTTGGAGAAGACAGTTTTCAAGATATGGAAACAAAAAAGCACTATTGTTTTTTACAACAGCTCCGCACTGTATCCCGCATTTTTGAAAACTAGAATCCAAAACAATAGAAAATATATTCAAAATCAAAGCTAATACAACATGGAAGCTCTTTTCTTCCCCTTTTTGTTCTGCCAGACTCTTTCTTCTCCCATTCCTTCAGAGGAACACTTGGAAGCTCAATTAAGTTTCTACGGAACTTCTCAAGCGACCTCATTTCAATTAAAAAGTTTGACTAGTTAACTAACATAAATACTTTCAAAGAAGCACAGTGAAGCTTAATTCGGTTTGTTAGAAAACTTCCCAAGATACCTCATTTCTAAATTTTTAATTGTGGATGTTTATAGAAACATTTTACATAAGTTATGCACGGATGGAGCAAATTTAAGATAAAAATTAGATTGCATTAGTATGACTAACTAGGGTTACAACTCTTCTCAAACCACATACTAAGCAACATATACGTAGCATGTACAGAACCCACACCCTTCCCTTTAAGATTATTTTATACACGAATTCAAACTGGTAGTCTCTGATCACTTAAGTTCGCAATATAACTTAGCCCGCTCAATCACCTCCTATGTTACTGGTAATTAATGCATACAATAAGAAAGGTGTTTTGATCCTCACCCCTAATAATGCTGTAATCTGTAACCCATTGAGAATTTTACTCAGGTTATAAAGTCAAACACCAAAACTGGCTCACTCAAGAGGACATTACAACAGGATGCTCAAACTCAAAAACAATGTCCACAGAGTAAAGAATTTCCCCACTTCACATCATTATTTCTTTTTTTGGGCTTGAAACCCACTTCATATAATTAATTCCCACGCTGTTGCATCTTAACTTAAACCCGATCACGTCACAATGAATCAAGAAAAACCCTAGATTTGCACAAGCGGAAAAACACATACAAAATGAGACTATTAACCTTTACCCTAGATCCCTAATATTGGGCAAAATTCTAATTAACCAAGTAGTGAACAAAGAAGTTAAATTTAATCAACCAAAAAATAAAAAATAAAAACCAATACCTTTCGCAAGGCGGTGGCGAGCTCGCCACGGGTGAAATTGGCCGCAGCAGCAGTGGTCAATGGGATCCCATTACGGAACTGATACAAGGCCACATTTTTCTGTATGTACTCTGTGAACTGAACTCTATTTCCCCCAATTATTTAAAAAAAGTTAAAATTAGATTCCAAACCACAATGATCGATAATCAAAATAAAACCCCAAAACAAAAAACAAAGAGAAAAGATTTTGCACCTGTCGCCGGGCTCACCGCTGGCGGCGACTAGTTTGTGTGAATCGAGCACCATGATTTTGTCTTCGTTAGACTTGTGCACCAGTATGCTGTGCACGGCTGACGTGTCCGCCGCCACCACCGCGAAGCCGTCCCCTACCAAGCCGAAGATGGACTCCATTGCCTTGTTCTTGATCTGCTAGGTTTTCGAGTTTCGATCTCTCTCTCTCTGCGTTTTTGATTGCTTTGGAGCTGGGTCACACTGTTTGTGCTTTTGGGTTAGGAAATTGGAGGTAATAGCAGGGGACTTGAGGAACAAGTTCACTCAGAGGGTCTGTTTGGTTGTATGCAATTTGTTGGTCCACATACAGAATAACATATCTCTACAACCGGTTCTGCTATCCCAATAGAAAGATAAACTTCTATAAAATATTTTTTTTAAAACAAAAGAAAAGATATTTCTTATTTTATAATGAAAAATACTTCCCTCGTTATCATGTAAGTATAAGCTCTTATATTCCTCAGTGTGATATGTGTGCATACGTTTTTGTTTTTTGGATGAATCATTTTTGCATATGTATTAAATTATGATTCGCAAGAAAGAGGAATATCTCATTACTAGGAAGAAGACAAACAAAATCCTTTTATAATACAAAATATATATATTTTTATTTTATGAAAATTATATTTAATATTTCTAATAAGAAAGATAAAATATGGTGTTGGCTTAAAAGATTGTTAAAAATTGGTAAGCCAAAGTTAGTCTTTCCAGCTTACACTCGATTTAAGTGATTAAAATTCAAATCACTTAAAGTGATTATATAGAGAAGTAGAGGCTCGATCTATGCTTGAATGCAATACATCAATATTTTTTGTTGGGTTTAACGAAATGGTGCCTGAACTTATGTCCGAGTAACATTTTGGTCCTTTATTTATTTTATTTTATTTTCACTCTAGTGGTGGTGCTCCAGCTCTCTATTCAGTGTCAAATTGATCATGCCGTCAAAGTCCGTCAATATTGTGGGCATTTGAGACTCTTATCATTATTTTGACTGCACAAAAATAAAACAACATTAAGGCAAATATATAAGGAAATTGCTGATCATATTTATTTGTTTAGGTGCAGCAGGACAAGTCTAAATTGTTGATAGATCATGTTTGATTTAGAATTTTCAAGTCAACGATTCAAAGTCACACATACAAATATAGATGATTGTGACTGACAAACATCAAGCGACACCGCTTGAGTGTTGCAAATGCTTTGTTTGTTAGGCTTACGATTTTTAATAGAAGCATGTTGTGCATATTTCGATGACAATAAATTGTTTTTTATTTATCTAATGTATTTTAAGTGTGATAAGTTGTAAGTAGAGGTGGGCATTGGGATCAGAAAATCGGAATACCAAATCAGAGTGTATGAAAAAAAATTGGTTGACTAAAAAAGTCAACAAATCGGACTGGAACCGGGCTGAACCAATTCCAACCGGTTTTGATTTCAGTTTCACATCACATCAAACTGGACCGGACTAGTTGTGTTTTTTTTTTATACAAATTTTTAAATCCATTGCTATAATTTTAATTTTATAATTAATATTTTTCCAAGTTCAACTTCAAAACATTTCTCATTGTATGAATTGGATCATTTGTTAATTTTCAAGCCCAAAAAAATAACTTTTTTATTTTATTTTAAAAAAAATTAATAAAATAATAATTCGGTTCAAAACTGGAATTGGTCATAATAGAACCGGCTGGTTTTTTTTTTTTTTTTTTTTTAAGTCACTTAAACTGGACCGAACCATATAAATTAAATAGTACCAGTTCCAATTATAGTTTGAGGTGAGAACTGGACCGTACCCACCCCTAGTTGTAAGGAGTAGATATTCCCAAATGGATCAAAAATATTGTACACACTGGAAGACGTTTAGAACACTGAGCAAGAAGCCGACACTCAGCAAATATTTCTTAAATACATAAGAGTTAGGTTATTGTTGTAAAACTCTTTGTGTATTGAACATTTAAGGCTCTTTATCTAAATTGACTTTAGGTCCCTTCATGCAATCATTTCATACATGAAAAATTGTTTTATAAAATATTGGCTAAGTATGAAAAATGGTTTTTCAGAATAATCATTTTCTCAAGATAATTTTTGGCGGCTTTTATTTCCTACACATCAAATAAGAAAACATGATTTTATGGGATTTTTATATAAAGTATATATTGACTTAATGAGCCATTATTTTTAGCCTAAATCATATTTTCAACTAAAACCGATTTTTCATATTTTTTATTTGGTGGGAATTTGATTTTCTAATATTTTTATTTGAATCCAAATATAAGGTACTTCCTTATTTACATTGCAAACGTAAGTAAATGGAGTAATATAAAAATAAATGAAAGTAAAACTATAAAAACAAATATTTCAATAGCTATTTTCCTAACGTCTCAATTATTTCCAAATGGCTATATTCCGAACGGCGCAATGATTTCCAAAAACTATATTTTTGTACTTAAAAATATGTATTAGATTTTTGGTTCAAATAAGAACTCAATATATTCATCCAAGCTTGAAAGCATTCATCATACTCTGAATATTATTTTCTCTTGAGCCAATCTTGTTCAAATTCATACACGAGTTCTAGTGTTCGAATTACTTCTGTATCATCTACTTAGAAAGGAGAGTTACCATTGAGTGAGCTTCAATTGTATATCCCTATCAAGTAGGAGAGATTTTTGTTTCGAGAGTTATTTCATTCAAACTTGTAAAAGGGGTTGGTTTGACCCTATGAGGTGAGAAGGATGTCTTCCACCTTGTGTGTTAGAGTGGTGTGCTCTAGCTGTGAAGGAGTGGTGTGCTCTAGTAGCGTAAAGGTTTCAACTCCACCTGCAAGGAGTTTTCCAACATAGTGGATCAAATTCAAACTCTCAAGTGGTGTGCTTGAGGATTGGATGTAGTTTAGGTGGACTGAACCAATATAAATCTCTGAGTTTGAATCTCTCCTTCCCTATCTCTTTATTATTGTGCTTGTTAATTTAGTTATCCGCATTTAAATTTAAATTTGCAATTAACCTTATTCACCCTTCCTCTAAAGTTGATTCCCTGGGCAACATGCTTGATTTGATTGCTAAAAGATTGAACAAATCTCCAACGAGGAATTAGCAAAAAAAGAGGTGATGAGAAATTCAATTCTGAGACCAAGTCACACCACAAGACTTGTTATTTACCAAACCCCAAAGACAAAATGGAGAGTGAGAGCGGGGGAGGTGCAGCTAGAACCATTTTTCTCATTTGATATGATTCGCAAAAATATGAAAGGACAACATACATAAACCTTTGCGATTCATTATTACATCAAACTGATATGTCTTGTTCTCAATATTGGCAGTGTTGGTGCTAACGATTTAATAACTATCTTTGTAGAATGTTTCAGTTTATGCTTACCATAATGTAAATGGTTTTCTGCATTAAAATTATAAATTAATTTGCGGTGAAATTGGCAGCAGCAGGAGTAGATCGAGGCCAGTTCGGGCACTTTGGTGAGCCAGGAGGGTTGCAAGGGGCACCATTGGCCATGGCACAAATACATGAATCAATGCCGCCAGCAGATTCACAGTAAAATCTGGTACGCCCAACATTCCGATAACAAGTACTACATGTCAAGGCGCACTCGTCAACGTCGGGACAACCGCCGCCAATAGTTGCTAGTGTACATTCATCGGCTTTCACCATTGGCATCATTCTTCTTACTGTCCAGAAAAATAAAACAACTTACTTAAGCTAAATAATAAATTAGCATGCGACGTGTCACATTGTAAAATTGTGAATAAAGACCACACATATATATAGTTCGTATATAATTTTATTGGATAAGAGTTCAGATTGATGCACCGACATGGCAACCTTGTGACAACTGTGAAAAGAATTATTCCATTCATTCATCCATAATCATGTATCAAATGTGGGTGTAAAATATACGAAAAAGAAGAACACAAACCTGAGGTGAATACAAAGAGGGCAAGAAGCAAGTAAACGGGAGCAAAGAGCTTGGCCATTTTGAATGCTTGTTTTAAGACCGTGTATTGGAAGAATAAGAAGAATGAAAGCAATGCTTGTCAATTGGTGTTACCATGGTAGGTTTATTATAAGTAAAGCCCAAGTGAGAAGATGTTCCCCTTATTAATGCAAAATTAAGCAAATTAGGCAAATTAAGCAATATCTGATGAGACGAATCCTTCAAAATCTATCAGAGATATTTTGGCTATATAAGTTTCCTATTGAGGATATAAATGGTTATTAGCCAGATAATAAGGGTAAGTATTTGAATATTTACCCTTCAAAGAAAAAGTGAAGAAGAGCGAGAAACTGGCCTTGTTTAAATGCGAAGGAATGGATGACTCTGGATTTTTGCTTGCGAAGCCGGAGTCGTAGGTGTTGTGGCGGCAGGGATGGGAGGAAGCAAAATATGGAGGTAGTGATGGAAGGAAGAAGAAGATGTTCAAAGATTTTGGGTTTTTAGTTTTTAGTTTTTACCCTCTTTTTTTTTTGTTAAGTTAAATGTAAAAAGTAGAAGAAAAAAAATATTTTAAAGTAAATTTTTCTCAACTCTTGGATTAAATCAAATGGTGAGTAACCACAAGTCTCTTAAAACAACATTAAGGCAAATATATAAGGAGATTGCTTGTCACATTCTATTTGTTTAAGTGAAGGGCAAGTCTAAATTGTTGATAAACCATGTTTGATTAAAGGCTTATTATCACAAAAAGTCCCTAAGGTTTACGAAACTATCAGATTGCATCCTTAATGTTTTTTTTTTATCATTCGTGGTCCTCAAGGTTAGTATGCATGATCACAAATGGTCCCTGCTGTTAGGTTCCGTAAAAAAACTCCGTTAGTTTGCTGACGTGGCATATATGTATATCACAAAACATCCTTGAAGTTCACTAAAATAATTTAAAATTCATAACATTTAAAAATGAAAAAAAACTAGGGAGCTTTAGTTTTAAAACACAATATAGTTTACTAATTTGGAAGAAGGAATACAATTTTATCTAATTAGCATAAGGCTAAAGACCAAAATGTAACACCTAATTTTACAAAAATACCATTAAAAAAATCAAAATTACACAAAATGCCACTCCTTCTAAAGCAAGCATACTATGCCACATGTCCATATCTAGCCACCACCGCCAGCCTCCCGTTGCAGGCCACCTCTCGCCACCGCCACCGTCACCGGCCTGCCACCGTCTGCAAGAGACCAACTCCGTTGCCCTTTATTCACCTTTAAAAAAAAAAAGATTTTGTGTCATTGAAGGGACTCGAACCTTGACCCTCAAAGGAGGAAGGCTCACTCACAAA